GAACATCTTCAAGTACGTGATCCCGAATAGAGCCTGGTTGATGAGCATGATGCAGAAGAGGTACAGGTTCACGATCGCGTCTTCGAGTCTGTACTCGGTCTTGCCCACGTCTTCGATCGGGCCCACGATCCTGGTCTTGTTCTTGGTCATGTGCGCGTACTTCGTCCTGTGGGCGGACACGTACACGTCGTCGTGTTCGTCGGCGAGCGCAATCTCGTACGTCTGTGGGCTCAAGAACAGGGGGAAGCTCGTGGTCGAGTCCGTGAGAGGGCACACGATCCTGATCGAAACCCCGTGCCTGAACGCGCTTATGATCCTGGTCTCGGGCGTGATGCTGGTCCTATACTCCTCTACGACCTCGTCGTCTGACGCGATCTGGAAGAGGTGCTTGGGCACGAACTTGTCGGTGCACCCGATGAAGGTCTCGTCGTTGGTGATGAACAGCGAGAGGAAGACGGTCGGGCCCGTGCCTGTGATCGTCTGCTCCATCGCGCACGGGGTCCACTCCTTCATGACGTTCTTGTTCATCATCTCGTTCAGCCTCCTGCCTACGATCGTGAACCTGTACCTCTTCTGCATCATGCTCATCAACCAGGCTCTATTCGGGATCACGTACTTGAAGATGTTCGTGTACTTGGCCATGTCCTTCTCGTTGAACAGAATCCCGGTCGCGATCACGAACTCCACCGCGTCCATGGGCGAGAGCCAGTACATGACCTCGTCTCTGATCGGGTCGATGGACATGACCTTGAACAGATGCGTGGCGTTGGACTTGTTCGACAACGTGATCTCGCTGCTGTGCCACATCTTGGCCTCGTTCGTAGCTGGTGTACTCGTACTAGCACAAGCTCCTCCATAACCACGAGTACTCGAACATGACGAGAACTACCTCCTGGGCGAGACCTGAACACGACCACGACCGCGTTTTAGGACGAGTCCGAGTGCGTGCCGAACGGCGCGAACAGAGACATGTTCCCGAGGAAGATGGCGCCCAGCATCGAGCTTATGTCCGTGGTCAGGTCCACGTTCGAGTTCGGGTCCCTGGTGACGGTCTTGAGCCAGGAGATATTGCTGCACGTGATCGAGGTGTACCAGTCGGCCTGCATCCCCACCATGACCCCCACCATGTCGTCGGACACGATCGCCTGCACGTTGATGGATGCGAAGGCGATCAGGGCTGAGACCGCGACCCTCTCCTCGGCTGTGAGCTTGATGTTGTCTAGCTCCTCGACCATGCTGACGACCGTGATCGCCCTCTCGAGCAAGTCCTGGGGCCTCTCCGCGCGCGAGATGTAATCCATCTTCGTGTACGGCTGGCCGCTCAAGATCGCCGCGTCGACGCTCATCAAGGAGACGGTTGTATCCCTGATCCCGAAGCACTCGTCAGTCATCTTCAGGAGGCTCTCCACGGCCATGATCTTGGCCTTGTCGTTACCGTGCTTCGCCATGTCGATGCCCCTCTGGTACATGGACGCAGTCATCTTCGTGAGCGCGGACGAGCACGTGCCGTGGTTCATGGTCGGGGTCTTGAGTAAGGCCGGGAGCGGCACCCTGCCCTTCGTCCTCAGCCTGAGGTGCATCTCGTCGGTGACCATCATTGTGCCCAGCATCATGGAGTTCCTCATGGCCACGTACGGCTTGCCGATCCCGTGCTTGCCCAAGGTCGAGTTGACGATCCCGTCCATGGACCTCTCCACCCACGTGCTCCAGTACGAGGCGCTGAACGAGGTCTGGCCCATCACCTTCCAGTTCTTCGGCTTCAACATCAACAAGTCGTACACGTCCCCGCCCGGGTGTTCGATCATGTCCTCCAACGGCATCGTGCTGTACATCACGGTGTCAATCGACATGTCGGCCTCAGACTCGACCATGATCTCGTTCAAGGTCTTCTTGATGTTCACCAACCCGCTCCTGTTCCACACCCTCTCCCACTCCCTGTCCAACTCCGCCACCGCGTCCCTGCTCATGGGCTTGTACTGCCACAGCTCGTCGCCGTCGAAGTCAGTGTTGTTCATGTTGCAGGTCTCGAGCGGGACCCTGACCGAGTACTCGTCGTTGGTTGTCACCCTGACCTTGACCGGGACCGCGCTCATGGCGCCCTGCGACGGCTGCCTCCCGAGCACGACTAGGTCGCCGTCCTTGATCCTGGTCCAGCCGTAGCTCCCGTCCTGGTTGAGGTACAAGAACCTGCCGTTGGTGAAGAGTCTCTTCGGGAGGTAGATCGTCCCCCACTCCCCGTCCAGGGGCGGCGGCGAGGCCACGAACCTCATGCTGTTGGTGGGCCTGGTCGAGTTGCAGTGCTTCCTCAAGATGCCGTTCTTGCCCTTGATGCGCTCGAAGCAGTAGGTTGCGATCTCGTCTGTCGTCTTGGTGCCGGAGTAGATCGCGGTGTTGAGTGCGTGCGCGTCGCTGTACCTGAGCTCGTCCCCAGACGCGAAGCCGTATGGGATCATGTACACGTCCCCGTCCGGGTTGATCATGTGGTGGCCCTTGCAATTCTTGTGCACGGGGCAGCCCTTGACGACGCCCATGTGCTCGGCCCTGGGCGTGAAGATGGACATGTTCTCGATCTTGAGCTCCGTCCACTTGCAGGACACGAGCAGCGGCAAGTCGTCGCCCCTGGACCCGGCCCTGGCCACGCGCTCGATCGTAAACGGCCTCTCGGTCTCCATCGTGATGTCTTCGTGCACAACAGCTCGTTTTGACCGCGGTCCTTCCGTTGTCCTCGCACTAGACCCAGCCCTCGTTCGGGGTTGTGTACTTGCACCTGGTCCTGAGCTAGTACTTGGTCGTGACCAAGCTGCTGTAGTCGGCTACGTACCCGCTCGAGTACCCGGACGTGCACGTGCTCCTCGTCTTGTTCGTGGTGGTGGACCTGTTGCTGGGCCTGAACGTCTTTATAGTCGCGGTGCTGACCGTGCTGGGGGCCATGCTCTCCGTCCTGGTGAGGTTGCTGACTGTCTTCGCCCACCCGGCTACGGACCCGGCCTCGGTGTAGTCGTCAGTCGTGCACCAGTCTTCGGTCAGGTTCGTGTCCCGGTACGGGGCCTGGGACGCGGAGTCGCTTGGGTACAACGCCGAGGTCTTGTTCACCTTCGCGTGCCTGGTGGTGACCGGAGTCCCCGACCTGGTCGTCTTCTTGCTGCTGTTCTTGGATACGAGCTTCTGTACGTTTGAGATCGTGGTCTGGTTCCTCACTGTGCCCGCGGTCTGCTTCGAGGTCAAGATTACGTACGCGTCGTAGAGCTCCTTCGCGGTTGCGAACGGGTACTCGGTGGAGTACGGCTTGAGAACCGCGTAGTCGACCCAGACCTGACACTCCTTCATGTAGTTCCTCACGCAGCACTTCACGCTGTCGCCCAACCTCACGAACGAGGCCCCCTTCGTGGGCTTGACCATCTGCGTGTGCGCGTCCCAGAAGAACTTCGAGTTGTCCATGCAGATCATGCCCTTCGACCCGTACTCGCGGCAGTACTCGGCCCCCTCTTTGAGCCTGGTCTCGGTCTCAGTGTCGGTCAGGATCCAGTATATGCACATGGTCGAGACTGTGCTCCTCCTTCTGTCCAAGTCGGGTACGCGTGCAACACGTGGCCCAGTACTCGGTTTTGGACGTGGTCGGGCACGTGGTCAACTACGGGAACATGTACATCCACCTCCTCTTGTACCCCTTCTTCTTCCTCTTCGAGGACCTGACGCACTCGTCGCATTTGATCGCGATCCTCTCCGTGTACATGACCGAGGCTAGGTACGCATAGGAGCGCCCGTCGCTGGCCAGCTTCGTGTGTAGGTACATGGGCTTGTTTGTCCCCCTGTTCGTGCACAGCCACCCGGTCTTGGTCAAGGAGCAGACCCTGATCCTGGAGTCGATCCTGGTCGTGCACGTGTCGCACTCTTCCACCACGATCTTGCACATGGTCGTGGTCAAGTGCTTGGTCAACTAGTCGTACAACTTCGGTCTCGGTGTGCAGCAAGAGCCTGGTCGAGGTCAGCTACGGGCTCGCGTGCCTGGTTGCGTTGTAGTTGAGGTGCAGTCCTAGTTCTGGTCGTGCTCTCGGGCATGAAGACGCTCTCGAGGCTGAGCACCTGTTGGGACAGTACGAGACGACGACCGCCGACAGAAGGTGACCTCCGACATGGACGACCACATCTGTCTGATCTGCCACGAGAGCAAGGACCCGTCCAAGGCCAGGTTCGCACACGTGCGCTTGGGCCTGGACGAGCCTCCGGAGCCGGTGCTGTGCAAGTGCAAGGACCCGATCAAGATCATCACCTCGATCAGGGACAAGATCGACGCTGCGGCCACGGTCACGAACTCCATCCCGAGCACGCTCATGGACTCGTTGGCGGAGATGAACATCGACACGGCCCACATCGACTCCGTGGGCTCGAGGCCGACCAGGGAGGTGGAGCTGAGGTTGCAGGGGGACTTGCCCAAGCTCGCGTTCAAGAAGATGGAGAAGGGCCTGTTCGAGAACTCGACCACGAGGAGGATCAGGGAGAGGGCCTGCATCTGCTGGACGGGCCCGGACACGAACTGGAATGCGAAGGTGAGGATGAGGTCGAACGGGGAGGCCACCATGAAGGTGAGCAAGAGCAGGGCGAAAGTGGTGCCCGGGTACATCCTGGCGATCTCGGATGAGTACAGGTTCAGCGGCAGGATCATGCACGTCCAGAGGGACGTGGAGATGAACGAGATCAGGTCCGTGCTCAGGGTCAGGGGCGTGGACGTGAACATCATCGCGAGGAAGTACGAGAGCGAGGACAAGGTGTCGTACGCGGCCGAGTTCGAGATCGAAGGGAAGGTCACCAACAGCATCGTGAGGTCGGTCCTGTGCCTGGCGCTGGGCACCATCGGCACCATCAGTTCGATGACAAGGGAGATCGACTCCGAGTTCATGCGCGACGTGAGGTCCAACGACCACGTCGTGATCGACGTCCCGGACGTGACGGGCTACTCGGGCATCTTCCTGGCCAAGGCCGACGGCATGAAGGTGTACGTCTTCTGCTACCGCTTCGGCTATGTGGTGACGGTCACAGACCCGCACCTGAGCATCGTCACGTGCATGGTCACGGTCACGCACGGCGACTTGCCCGAGATGACGGCCACGCCCGACGTCGTGCTGGCGGAGATGATGATGGACGGGAGCCTGGTCTACATCGACACCCTGGCCATGAACAGCGACGGAAAGTTGCCCAAGAGCATGAACGCGTCCGTGTGCCAGGTCACGGGCGAGAGGCCGCCTTTCATCTACCGCAAGTCTTGGGACAGGTTGCCGTCCAAGGTCGAGCTCGACCTCGAGCCTATGCCCAACGACGGGGTCGTGCTCACGAACAAGTTCAGGACCATGCGCCTGAAGCAGCCCACGATCGACCTCCTGTACATGGACGGGAAGCTGAACGGCATCGACAACGGCATCATCACCGAGGTCACGGACGGGAGCCCAGAGATGGAGGAGGACACGGTCTACGAGATGGACCTGGTCAAGGACAAGGAGACAGGCGAGATCAAGGTCGTCAAGCCGAGGCAGAGGCCGCTCAAGAAGTTGCCCAACTCCATGGACGTGATCAAGAGAGCCATCGCAAGTGCGAACGCGGACGTGAACACCAACATGGTCTTGTTCGACATCACGTCTATGTCCTTCTCCATGAGGGAGCGCGTGTACCAGATGGCGCAGGCGAAGGCCCCCTCGACCAAGAAGCTGATCGTGACCTTCGGCGTGGGCAGGTTCCAGGAGTGGAAGCAGATGCTGTCCAACGGCTTCTCCTACATCGCCATCGACCCTGAGCTCAACTACTCGGACTTGGAGAAGAGAGCGAAGAGGGTCAGGATCCTGCCCTACGACTTCAGCACGAACTTCAACACGCAGGTGCTCTCCATCTCGAGCGGGGCGCAGACCGTGTTGTGGGCCAAGTGCACCTCCGAGTACTTCATCAGGAAGGCGATGCCCACCATGATCATGGCCAGGCAGGGGATCCCGGCTGTGTTCTCGTTCAGCATCTCGTACCACGTGCAGGTCATCTCCATGCTCAGGACTGAGGGCGTGGCCACATTCGGGTGCGGGTTCGTGCACGACTCCATGTCCGGGACCGTGGGCAGAGAGCCGGTCACGATGACGGTCAAGAACGCGAGCAGGGGCACGAGCAAGGAGGTGGTGTCGACCTTCGGCAAGTCCACGTACGTCGAGCCGTTCGTGAAGATGTCCACGGTCAAGGGCTTGGTTTTGGTCAAGGACTCGATGCCGGACTTGTGGGAGAGGGTGGACTCGAACACGGCCGAGATCATGGACAGGGCCGTGATCATGTACTCGTGAGGTACGTGAGCGCCAACCTCCTCTTCTGCGGGCTGTTGAGCATGGCCAGCGTCGAAAACACGTCCAGGTACACGGTCGACCACCTCATCTGCACCAGCTTCGAGTCCGGCTTCGGGAACGGGCAGTCACAGTTGATCACGAGCCTGCTGCAGCCTGAGCACAAGGTCACGCTGCACTTGTCGTCGCTGTCCACGGCGTCGCGCACGCACGAGGGCATGTTCTGCATCATCATCGAGACCAGCTCCCCCTCCGAGAGCCTGGGCGTACCCTGCCTGTACCTCCCCCTCGGGACCGTGACCGACCTGAAGTCCGTGGACGCGTAGTGGTGCTTCAACGAGGCCACGTGCCTGAGCTGCAACACGCGCATGATCCCGTACGTGGCCTTGACCGTCCTCATCCCCACCTTCTGGTCCTTGAACCGCAGCTCCTTCCCGTTCGCCATCAGGACGCCGGACGGCAGCTTAGGCTCGACCTCCTTCTGCTTCTCGAGTGTGTACGTCTTCGTGGGCTTGTGGCCGGACCAGTTCCTGAACGCGGCGATGGACGGAAAGAGGTTCGTGATGGCGGCCATCTCCCTGATCGTGCCTCCGAGCCCGCGCGTGAGGTTCTTCGTGGAGATGAGTAGGTTCGGCACCACAACCTCGCCTGTGGTCTCGTTCACGATCCTGGGCATGTCCGCGAGTGGGATCAGCTCCCCGACCGTGAACTTGAGGCCGTGCGAGACGCCGAGCTTGTCTCCGACCTCCAGCTTCTTCGACCCCACGTGGACGACCGCGTGCGAGTCCCCCACCTTGCTCATCCTCACCTCCGCGAGCGTGCCGTCGATGCCAGGCTTCCACCAGTCCTTGTCGATCATCTTCATGCCAATCTTCATCGGGCCCGGGTTCGAGGGCAGGGGGTAGTTGATGTACCCGCTCCAGGCGAAGATGCCGGACTCGGCCAGGTCCTTGGACACAGAGCAGGCATCCTCCATGTTCATCGACCTGTTCACGAACGCCGTGACGAGCTGCACGCCGGGGACGGAGACCAACTTCGCACCCTTGGACTTCGCCATGATCAGGTCCGTGAGTGGGGTCTTGACCAAGGGTTCCACCTCGCCGTGGGACACGATGGTGGCGTCGCCGCTGATCCGAGAGAGGGACATGCCCTGCCTCAGCATCTGCATCCCGAGGTTGAGCCTGGGGTCGGCCGTCCACGCGGCGAAGGGGATGGTCAGGATCGCGGCGTTGAAGTACTGCTCGGGCTCCATCTCGCGGCTGGGGAAGGACAAGTTCGCGAACTCCATCGTGTCCGAGTTGTGCACTGAGACGCTGTCCACACACGGGCCCTGCACCACGAACTTATCCGACTCCACGACCGTACGCATGGGCCTGATGATGACCCCGGTCGCCAGCGAGAGGTTGGCCACTTTCGCGTCCTTGAATACGTGCATGGTCGGCATGTTGGGCTCGCAGTAGGTCTTCCACCTGTCCACGAGCTTCCTCACGTCCCTCTCCGCCACCGTGCAGCAGAAGCCCATGCACCTCACGACCCAGTCCCTGCGGCCGATGCCGTTGCCGAACCTGAGTACGGACAGGATGTCGCATGCGATGTCGATCGTGCGCTTGGTCATGATCCTGACGGAGGCCCCGATCGTGAGCGCCCTCACCTTCCCGCTCGACTTCGACTGCGGGGTGAAGCACATGTCCAAGAACCCGCCCTGCTCCCTCTTCGGCTCCCTCTCCTCGAGGTTGGGCTCGATGTCGGACCCGGCCGCGCTCCCCAACGAGATCACGGTGTTGTCGTGCATCAAGCCGTAGAGCCCGTAGTGGCACTCGACGTCGTCCAAGATTGGGTACATGTTCTGCCAGAAGGAGCTGTTCATGGTGTGGCCTGCCGCCTCGCACACGGCGTGGTTGTTGTACGCGGTCAGAGGCCCGACCCTCTCGTAGACCAGGCTCGCCCTCGTCATCATGGAGCTGTTCAGCCTGCCGACCGCAACCGGAGTGATGCACCCGGTCGTATCGCTGACTACCCACTTGAGGCTGGTGAGGTTCGTCATCCTGACCGCGGCCATCATGTCGGAGGGTTGCTCCTCCCCGTACGCGGCCTCGCACACGGACAAGACCCCGTTGACGGACACGGCGTGGCCCACGATCGGCGGGTAGATGCACATGGTGTACATCCTGCCGGAGTTGAGTCCGTCCCCGTCTGTCTCCGGGCTGACGTCCGAGGCCGTGATCCTGCCGCCACACCTCTTGTACGCTTTCATGGTGTCCCTGAGCACGAGCATGTGCTCGAGGTTGATCGGGAACTCCCTCGTGGTCGAGGGCGGGCTGTACACCACCTCCACGTCCTCGTTGTTGTGCATGCTCATCTTCGAGTTCGCCGTGTTGCTCATGGTGGTGTCTAGGTGGATCGCCACGTATATATTCAGCACGCGCTCTGCACCACATCCTGCTCGCGTACGAGATGGTAGACAACCTCAGGCGCCACAAGACGACCACGGTCTTGGCCTGCGTCACGTGCGGGAACATGATCGTGTGCATGAACTTGGACGCGACGGAGAGTACGAAGCAGCACATGTCCGAGTGCGTCGCCTCGTTCAGGATCACGGTCTGCAGCTCGTGCGAGCGCTCGGCGATGGGCTGGAACATAGAGCAGCGCGAGTACGAGCTCACGAACATGGCCTTGGACTCGAATATGATCAAGAACTGGAAGCCGTATGTACTCGCGAACAAGATGTTGGACGGAAAGTTGAGCTTGGGCGGCAACAGCAAGGAGTTGGTAGAGAGGAAGCAGGCGTTGAATAGCGGCTTGTTGGGGAACTGCCTCAAGAGCGTCTACGCGCCCGGGGACGACGACGAGTGCTTGGTCTTGAAGGCGTACGTGGACTCCCGCTTCATCTAGACCGAGTTGATGCACAGGGTCCTGTTCGTGGTCGTAGTCAAAACCCCGGTCTTGATGCTGCGCTACGGCAACACCCTCTACTTGGACCTGAGCGAGTAGACGACCTTCGACATGGCCGTGACGATGGCCAAGAAGATGACGAAGAGGCTGTCCAAGTACAGGAGCATGGTGGCGGACATGCACATGAACGGGACCATCGATAGCGACACGTTCGAGCGCTTGACCAAGACCATAGACGCGAACCCGATCAGGTCCATCCAGGAGGTCAGCGCCATAGACCGAGAACTCGATGATATTGCCGGCCATGCCCTAGCGCCTCTCGACCTCGACCCCGTGCCCGAGATCCCGCAGATCTGCGTCGACGAGGTCAGCAGCGACTACGAGCCGACGCCGCTTGCCGATGTCGAGCCCGACAAGTGGACCGTACTCGACGCCCCGCCGATCATCGAGACCGAGAACGACAACTTGGACCAGGACGCGAGCCGAAGCACGGACGTCAACGAGAACAGGAACGAGATCGAGCCTGAGAGCAAGAGCGTGAGTGAGACCGCGCCCGAGTCTGAGAGCTCGGACGGCCACCTATTCCCGACCTGCGTCAGGTGCTTGTCCGCGACCATGATCAAGTTCTCGTCCGGCAGCGTGCCTGCAATGCCGACCCCCACCGCGGATACGTACGACAACGCCGTCGTGATGACCCTCTGCCTCATGTGCGAGGTTGAGGACGAGCAGCTCAACGACGTCGACGACGTGGACAAGAAGAAGTACGCGAGCTCGTCCCGCGCCATGAACTCGTTCCGCACCTTGAAGCTGAACCCGGCGCTGATCAAGGGCTCAGACGTGCTCAAGGCCGCGGAGTTGATCGTGGGCGAGCCCGTGACCACCATGAAGTCCGACTCCAAGCTTATGTTCGTGACCAGAGACCTCATCAAGTCGAAGATCGGCGTCTCGGACAGGATGTCGAGCATGAATCTGTCCAAGGTCGAGAGCGGGGATGCGTCCCAAGTCAAGCTCCCGTACCTGTCCGGAGGCTTCTTCTAGTTCTAGAGCGCGGTCGAGTAGTGAACCTGGACCCGAACAAGTACACACACTCGAACCGGGACGCGGACGAGTTCAAAACCTGGTGCCGTAGACGATCGGGGTCTGGGCCAGGCTCTTGTGCTAGCACTAACTCAGGCTGCTGGACAGCTTGTAGTACAAGGCGTGATGGCGTACAGGATGCTGATTTCGAAGTGCACCGAGTGCGAGAGGGAGTACAGCATCCAGACCAACGTCCCGGGCAGGAGCATGACCGGCATCATCCGCGCGTCCGAGAACGAGATCAAGCAGAGGAATGTGTACGTGGCTGCGAACACGTCCGACAGCACCAACGGGCCCCAGAACCACCGCAACATCAAGAGCATGTACTTGTGCGGCACCGAGGACGCGGTCGTGATCCCGGGTGTATGCGCTTCGTGTTCGAGTCTGCGACCGTGAGCAGGGTGGTGACCGGGGTGGTGTGCGAGTAGTCGATCCAGCACAGGACGAGAAGAGCCGCGCGAGCTGATCACGCACCTGAAGATGAACGACTACCCGAACTCGTCCTGCCACCAGAACACGGCGGTGGCCTGCATCGTGTGCACGAAGACGATCTTAATCATGACCACGAGCGGGTGCAAGCACGAGCTGCTGGACGGCTGCTTAGCCCCGGGCGTGTACTGGTTCAGGACCACAACCTGCTCCAGGTGCACGAAGAAGATCGAGAGCAAGCACGAGGTCAGGACCTGCGCCGGGGTCGTGGGCACGGACGTGGTCATGAGCCTGCCCTCGTACTTGAACGTAGCCAGGTACCTGAGCAAGTACCCGCGCATCCACACAGTCGCGGACATGCACTCGGTCGAAGACTTGACCAGCATCAGGAACTCGATCTCGCCCAAGGCCACGGCCATGATCGTGGTGTCGGATCAGTCCATCTCCCTGGACGCGTTCTCAGTCGCGGACTTCTAGCTACTCACGTACCTGAGCAAGGACACGATCAAAACCACCAACAGGCACAACGCCACCAGTTGACCAAGTACCAGACCCTTACCATGTGCACGTACAGCGACCCGATCTGCCCCGCGTGTGAGTGCAAGCACAGGACCACTATCGCCACCTGCGCCAAGTACAACATCTACAACGCGTGCCCGATCAGGGACTACGGCCCGTTCCTGTTCAAGTTCTGCACCAGGTGCGCGGACAAGTACATGGACGAGAACAAGAACCTCTGCGTGGGCGAGATGATGTTCCTGACCTCGGACAAACCCATGACCCTGGACACGATCATACACGTGCTCGAGACCGGGTACAAGGCGTGCTCTAGGTGCTGTACCGGTTCCCGAGCTCCATCCTGCTCTTCGTCAGCTACAGCTGCCTAAGGTTGTGCAGGGAGTTGACTGCGACTAGCAACAGGTTGAAAAGCTACTGAGGTACATGACGAGCACACGAGCTCGGTCAAGAGTAGGGCCAAGATGCCGAACGCGCTCCTGCACCTGCTCGAGAACGTGGCCCCGGCGAGGGTCACCATCATGAACATGCTCTCGGCGACGAACTTGGCCACAGTCTGCTACGCGTGCCCGATCCTGCTCACGAACTGGGAGAAAGAGACGTTCCTGAAGCCGATCAGGGACTTGCCTGAGCAGGAGGAGTGGATCAGGGACAGGGTCGCGAAGGGGTCGACGGTCAAGATCTTAGGCGCCAACATCCCCCTGTGGCTGACCAGGATCAGAGCCCCGAGCAAGTACTGGAGTAGGTTCAACCAGCACACCACGGTCGCGATCTGGATCATGACTGAGCGCACGGACGAGGAGCTGGATCAACTCACCGACCTGATCGAGGACATACAGATGACCATGGACTACTATCGGTATGACCCCTACAACCCGCGGTCGTACAACATCTGGGACCAGTACGGGAACGTGCTGCAGGAGACGACCGACACCGAGCTCATGCTCGAGAACATGAGGAAGTCCCTCCACGAGTACGAGAGCGAGGTCAAGTCCATGCCCAGGCCCCCGGGCTCCTTCGAGACCCTCACCAGGTCCGACATTCCGGAGTGGCACCCGACTGCGGACGCCGGCACGGCCTCCCAGTCGCACGAGGTGCGGAGGTGGTTCACGTGCCCGAGCGACTCCACGGACTTACTCAAGCTCGTGTACGGCGCGGAGGTGACCTCCACCAGGCGTGACTGGATGAACTCCATCGTGACCTGGGTCCCGCCCCTGATCGTGAACTGGGACGAGACCACGACGAGCGCTTGGGACGTAGTCGCGGTGGTGAGCTGGTGCATGGTCCTCAACCAGTGGGGGTGCAAGTTGGAGAAGAGGGTCAGCACTTCGCACGAGGAGGTAGCCGCGGACCGGGAGCCGACCGCGAACGCCGTCTGGATCCAACTCTCCTTCGAGTCCCCGTCCGCCGACCCGTCGCTGGTGCTCATGCCGGTCTAGGCCACAGGCTGAACGAACTCAGGCTCTCGCACGCGACTAAAACGACGGCACGACCCGAAACAGGAGCAGAGCGTCTACTAGGGCAAGTACGCAGCCCTGATGGCGAACAGCATCGAGGACATGTTCGTGAACATCTACCCGGTCAGGGTCGCCATGATGGAGCAGCTCACGGCCACGGACCTGGCCACGTTCTGCTACGCGTACGGGCTTGAGCTCACGAACGAGGAGAAGAACACCTACTTCAAGATGATCAGGGACATGACGGAACACGAGCAGTGGATCAAGTCCATGGTCACGAAGGGGCACAGGATCACGATCATGGGCAAGGACATCCGCCTGTGGCAGATGAGGATTGCCAACCCGCACAAGTATTGGTCCGCGATTAGCTCCCACGCCGTGGTGAGGTTGTGGATCATATGTCTGCCGCTGGAGAACGACCTGGTGAGCAGCGACGGCACGACCCCGCACCTCATCATGCCGCCGGGCAAGTACGGCAAGTTCGTCGAGGTAGAAGGGGGTTATGAGGCCGGTCTTGAAGTCCGAGACCGGTCCAACTCCAACCGCGTCAGGAACATGCGCAAGAGGTGGAGCGTGTTCTTGGACTCGTCCCGCAACCCGATCGAGATCATGCACATGGACGTGGGCCCGTTCTCACTCGAGCTCACGAGCTGGCTCCCGTCCCGCCTCATAGACGTGCTCGAC